CTACACACGGCATGTGGGAGAATGACAGTGATGATACGCAGCTGCCGATGCTTTGGGTTGGCAGAACTGTCTTTCGTAGACGAAGGCTGATGCCCGCCCCTTCTTCGTGCTCCTTGCAACCTCGCGATGGCACTCAGGTCCGACTTGCTGACGGCCCCGATGGTTTCGCGACCAAAGACTCTCTCCGAGTTCACGAAGGCCGAGCTGATCGCGGAAGCCACGGCCCGCAACCTGTGGTTCCATCCGACGTGGACGGTGACAGAAATCCGGTCCCTGATCCAGGAAGACCGGAGGAACCCCTCGGGCAACCACCCAGCGGACGCCGGGATGAGCAAGCTCACTCTGGAACAGCTGAAGGAGAGAGCCATGGAGAAAGGGTACCACCTCCCGCCGTACGCCACCAAGGGCACGATCATGCGCATCCTACGAGACCAGGCGGGAATGGGCCCTCAATCGATCCTCGCCTTCGGACGGTTCAAAGGCAAGATGTTCAAGGAGACTCCGGAGAGCTATCGCACTTGGGCTCTCAAAGAGGTGACCTCTCACGACAATCCGTCGGAGGACCTGGTGATGTTCGCCAACTGGTGGCGCGACGAGATGCACCGATGGAGAGAGTCGCCGAATCGCAAGGCGACCTCGGACACGGAGATCTACTTGGACCCCGAGGAGCACGCGACGATTCCGTACATCGAGGACGCAACCCACGTCGTGGGACATGGTGAACCGCGAGACGGAGTACCCAGGAGCGCTTCCCAAAGCTCTCCCCGGGAGTTCGTCACTACAGGCACCCAGGACACCGCCGAGACGCAGGGGATCCGAAGCAGTGGTGGCACCAACCCCCACGACTATGGATCAGGACCTGCCGCCGGATGTGACGGACGAGGTGAAGTACCTGGAGGAGAGGCTGGCAATCCTGAAAGACCGTCACGGCCTTCCCCCGGGAAGGAACTGAACCTACAGGAGCTGTACGAGGACTACGACGAGGACTACGACGAGGTGTACTTCGAGTGCGACGAAGAAAAGGCGGAGTTCCTCTCGAACCAGGAGCAAGCGACGAAGAGCAATGAGTACCCCGGGCACGGCGATGATGAGGAGACGGACCAGGAACTGGACGTGTACGTGGAAGGCATGAAAGTCCCGGACGTCTTCTACCAGACCAATATGAACTCTGGCGGCAGTGGGGACGTAGTCCAACGTGAGCCCCCTGGAGTAAGCAGACGACAACGTGTTCGAGACTACGAGGAGTGTGCCAAGGACAAGATGAAGAACAAAGCCTTCGACTACAGCGACCTCCTCACCGTGGTACGTCTTCTTCCTCTTCGCAGACTACGCACCGGGAAAGCGCTGAAGCGAGGAGGCGGTCTTCCTTTTCGCTACTTCATTGCCGGAATGTACACCCACGGACCCTTCGTCGGAGTGACCAAGAGCGGGAAGGAGCTTCCATGGACGATCAAGTACATCAACTCCTTCGTCAGGGCCCAAGGTGTGGGGGAGTGGACGTCTTTTGCGATCTTCCGCAACACGGCGACCGAGTGCCACACAGACACCCACAACATGGCCGGCACCCACATCAAGACGGTGAGCTTCGGCGAGTTCACAGGAGGCGAACTGTGGATTCATGGAGAAGCTCCAGAAGGGCAAGGCGGGAGAACAGTGAGCCGACAAGGCCCAGACGGAGAACAGCGGCTTGGCTACATCGTTGACACTAAGGAGAAGGTCTTCAGCTTCGACGGGAAGGCGCTGCACGCAACGCAACCCTGGGAAGGCGAACGATGGGCTTTGTCTTGCTACACGACCAGGGGCTACACCAAAGGCACGGTTGAGATGCGAGATGAACTACGCGAACTACGTTTTCCGTTGCGAGGGATTCCCATCTACGATGAGCCAGGACAATCAAAAGAAGACGCCAAGGATCGATCCTACAGGCCACCAAAGAGCATCAGGAAGGGCCTGTGGAAGAAGGCTTCCAGACTGGCGGCTTTGACTGCGTGGTGTACGGCGGCGGCTTCTACATGTGTGTATGAAGAATATCCCCTTGGACGAGGACAAGGAGCTGTTTCCCTCTTCGAGATTGGCGGCTACGAGAAGACCATCGAGATCACGGACCTCGACTACCTCGTTGCGGAACCCTACGCCTACGACTTCAACGCTGAGGACAATCGATCCGAACTTCACCCACACGTCGTGCGGGATACCATCGAGGAAATGAAACCCGCCGTACTTTGGATTCACGCCCCGAAGATCGAGGACCTCCTGCCGGCTATCTCGGAGCATCTATGCACTCAAGTAGATCGCGGAGGCCAACTTGTCATTGAGGCTCCTCCTGGGCACCCCTGTTGGACCCGGAAAGAGATCAAAGATCTACTGGAGCGCTACGACAACCGGTGGAGCCAGCGAAGGGGCGAACCTCATCTCTGGAGGATCAACGACGAGTACGAGAACACCATCCACCACGACCCCAAGGAGGACCTCCCAGAGTTCCTCAACTACATGGTGAAGCATGAGACCGGAGAAGGGGACGAGGACGATGATCTGGAGTCTTTCCCCTCAGTCGGCCCTTTTCTCCAAGGGATGTGGCCTTCTCCACGGTTTTGGTCCCTATCATGTAGGAGGTTCATATCCCGAAACTTGTAGCATGTAAGTGTCGAAAAGAAGATTGTATTGCATGATTGCGGCTCCTGGATATCGTAAATATATTGCAACACGGCTCAATTTGACTAGACTTTGGGAAATCGCCTTGGAACCGACTAGGCTGATGATTGCGGTCTCTACCATAAGTTTAGCTTCTGACCCAGCCGCCATCTCGACCAAAACATGTTGATTTCGGGAATTTGCGTGGCGAATCTCTTCTTATCATCTCCAACACGACATTCACAAATACACCCAAAGTATGCTCATTAGGACTGGGGCTTGGGCCCTAAAATTTGCAGGCTCCTGATGTTTGATGTCTTGGTATTGGAGAAACAAGAAGTTTTCAAGCATCCAGTCTTCAAACACGTGGAATGAGCAGGTCGAGCACACTTTCTCGTTCATGGCTGCGGGTCGCCATGTCAATCAGTCTGTGCAATCGACTTACAAGCGTCGAACATATATGCTCGAAGGTGACCCCTAAATGATGTGATGCATCGTACCAGGACCGATAAACTAAGCTTATAATATACTTGAGTCTGGAGAAAGTTCCCTATCTGTGGCCTGAACGACCCCTGCTGGAAACTGAAAAGCGCACAGTTTGGCAGCCTGAGCATCTATACTGAACGTAGGGGTTTTGGGATGTTCCGGATATTTCAGGCTTATAAAACCTTGAACCCTTCACACCCTAAACCCTGTGTGCTCGCACCAAAGTCTGGCAGTAGCAAAGGCTACTCAGCTGAGTGCCGCAAACGACAGACGTACCTGGATGGACTTTCAATTCGGGGTGTTTGAACATCCAAAAACTAGGGTTGTGTTCTCATGGAGGATCCTACTCTTTTATGGAGCATCCTAGATGTCCCTGTGGTATCAAGATCCTTCTTGCTTCAGAAATTGTGGGTTTCGTGATTAGGGTAAGGCTTCAGAAATTTCAAGGATACAGCAAGAGCCTACGAAGTAGTGGATAGCGGAGGTTGAATGAAGTCAGGGGCACCAACTCCAGAAACCCACATAGCTGCCAAGTTTCCAAAGGCTTGTTGTATTGAGTATTGATTCTACAGTTAATTTCCGAAGGCTTCCCCCCAGCCCCAAAAAATCCTAACACAGATCCGGAACATAGCATTTCCGAGTCAAATGCACGGTTCTCCCAAAGGCTTGGTTGTTTTGCGTGAAATTACGTGGTTTAAGACATGGTAAAGGTTTAAGGTCTCAAAGTCGCGATTTGTTTGGAGTTGTCAACTCGGAGAAACCGTGAGTTTCAAAGACCTGGAACTCGTTCACTCACTGCAAGGCAGAAATACCCATGACACAATAGGAATACTCGATGCCACACCCACTTCGCGACAAGTTGAGCCACTAAACCCTAGTTAAATCCTAAATCCCAGAATGGATGATCCGGGTCACTGGCATCTTCGCACACACAGACCTGGCATGCGGCAGGGTTGTCATAGTGAGAGATTTTGTGTTGTTGTCGGTATTCGGGTCTCGGGCTCACGGTTTGCACGAGCCTATTCAGCTGTAAGTCGGAATGGTTAGAAAGTCTGACTTGCGAATGCAAAGCGACTCCCCCTGCTTAGCTATGAAGGGCCTCATCGTGGGGGCATGTGGAAGTCTGGACGGAAGGTTTCTGTCATACCCAAACGACCAAGCCAATACTAATACCCGGTAAAGCCCAAACACCACACCCTCAGACCTCAAGAAAGCCCGGCGACCCTCGTGAAACGCCTCTTGAAACCTAAATCGGCCTCCTGGGTTGAGGATCTTGTTGGCGTGCAATCTGGCTAGACTCTAGAGTGAACCACTGAAAAACCCTGAATGCCACCAAATGACATCGCCGAACTTGGAATCTATCCCAGGCGACATGTTTGGGAAGAATGTTCGACATGCAAGGCATTGGGGGGGTCTTTGCAATGGTTGGCTTAATGACTTGTCCCGCAAGGACAAGAATCACTTCTTTAGGGTTCAAACAACAAGTACAACACAATACGGCTTTGATGGCATGGCAAAAGCTTCTCTGCAGTTTTGCACAACTCATTGCGCTCAAAAGTGTCGGCAAACCGAAAGCCTCCTGGGCAACTCCCAAACCAAACGTCTGAAATTGCTCAAGTCTGCAAAAGCCATGGGGAAATGGGCAAAGGAGCATAACAGTCAATAGAAACCATGACCGTCGACAACAATCATATTTCTCCTTCCACCGAAGACTGCGAACACTCCGCATCTTTCGTGAAAGAGCTGCTCTGAAGCACCGCTCGGCCGCATCTGTGAGGAACCGGAATATGGCAGTGTAAGGGAAATGTAATGTTGATAAGTATATTATATTATATGTGCGGATACGGTGCAAGAACAGCCACGACACTACACGTCTCAGGATTTCAGGTCCTGGCCCGCTTAGGTGCAGGCTCCGAGGAAGAAGCTGGCTCTGCTGATTCCTTCTTGTTTTTGGCGTCGTGCCAACTCCAAAGCCAAGCGACAACTTCAGCTTTCGCCGACTCAAAACTTCGGCTCGCACGATTGCCCTGATGCATCACAGCTCCAGACGGCCTATAAGCACGACTGCAGCTCTCCTTGCCTTGCCACTTCTCTCCGGACGGAAGGAAAGCCTGGATGTTAGGACTGCCAGCTTGCGGAGTATGCAAAGACAATCTGCAGCCATCTGGAAGCGGATCATCCACCACGGACGGCTGACCAAGGCCTCTCTCAGTAGCCGGCCAGGCTACGGCTACAGCTTTCGGTCTCGGCGGAGGCTCTGCGGCCTCAGGCTTTTCTGCACCATCAGCAACTTCAGCTGCTTCCATCTTCGCGAGCAGCTGGTTCAGCATCTCTGCCTCGCAGGCGGCATCGAGCCCCGGCACGTTGTCGTCGTCCTCGAAATCACCCTCTGCGGGCCGGTCGTCATCATTATCCTCGTTCTCAACAGACTGCTTGCGGAAGGATCCCAAAATGGAAATCCTGGCAACTTCGTCGTACCCCAAAGTCGTCAGGAGCTTCTCGCAACAAGCACGTTTGCTTGCACTGCCGCCCATAGGACACCCTTGGTCGATACAAAGCGCTCGTAAAGCGTTGGCGCTCAAGCCTTGGATCTGGATGTCAACTTGAGTTAAAATCAAATCATCTGTCTGAAACCTCTCGGAAGCAGCCCCGATACCATGCACAACGAAAAGTGACTCAGGGTAGCTTGGTGGCGACTGGCATAATGCTCCAAGGCATGATTCAGCAGGGGTCGGGAGTCGCCCATCTTCAGAACAATGCTTGAAAGCTCCGGCAGGGTTGCTTTGAACACAGGCTGACAGTCGAAGATGCGACAGTCTGCCACCGACGGCGGGTTCACGTCCTGCAATGAATAAAGTTGCACTTGCTTGAAACCGGATGTCTGTTCTGCTGCACTTCAACTTGTTGGCCTCGATACGTGTTAAGACGACGGCATTTCTCGCGTTTCGCTTCGAGCAAATGTCTCAAAAAAACAAAAGCAAGACAGACACAAACTGTATTATTAGGTCTGGGGTTGCTAGAAATTTGGAGTCAACCCTGGCAAAAAGCAGGTCCTTCAAAGCAAAGTGTTCAAGCGACAGCACAGCCGCCCTGACTCGCTCGCCACGGATCTCCATATCTTGAAGCAGCAATGGCCAGACTTTCAGATGCACGTAGGGGGCATCAACGACGAGCCACAGGTGCTCGCCACAGCCGAGCACCTCCAAACAGACAGAAAAACTCGGATCAAAAGTGCACTACCTGGCACCTTACAAGCTCTAAAACGTGGTAGTGCGAAAAACCCGCCTGTCCCGTGCGGCACAACTCCGCGATCCAGGTTGACCGAAGATCATTCTGCAGCCGCAAGACTGTGGACCAAAGGTTGAAAGATCTTCGAGTCATGTGGTGGGCGGATGTCGCTGTTGTCCGGACCAGTGTGTTAAACCCAATCATTCCTGTGTCCTGCCCGGTCGCTCGACGGGGGTCGAAGATGCTGGACTTGATGGTCTGGCTCACAGGAATGCTATGAATTTGGGCAGTGTCAAAGCCGACCGTCTCGTAGCCAGCGTATCGGCTGTTCAGCGATTTCATGCTCACAGCTTGCAGCTGCGGCGGCGAAACAAGACCTGCCTGCTTCTTCTCGGCCGACCTCAGGTTTCTGAAGCAGTCTTCGGCACCTAAGCTGCTCGAAGGGTCCGGCTGCCAAGCCTTCACGAGAAGGCGCAGGTCGCGGCTGTCTTCAAATCGCCTTTCCTCCGCGAACGTCATGACCTCACGATAGCAATACCATCGGGTGAAGCACAACTGCTTGAGAGGGTGAACCTCTGCTGGCTTTGCATGTGCAGCCTCCAGCTGCAGCAGGAACTGCCACTCGGACTTCATCTCTTGCAGTGTCCGTTGGACGATCTCTTTGTTCTCGTCCAACAAGAGGAAAAACCGCCAAGGGAACCGTTTGTAAAGCAGGGCAAACTCTGAGAACCTCTGCAAAGTAACGACCACATACCGCCAGTGAGCTGTCAAAATGACATCTTCGTCATCGTCGGCATTGAAAAGAACGTCTTGCACAGCATGCGTTGCCAATGCACTCTTCAAAGTCCGAAGCATGAGCTCTGGCCACTCCAAGGCAATGAATCTCTTGATCCGGACCGACCCAAACGGCCGCACATCTTCCTTGACCTATCGGGATGCGTGAAAAACCTGAAGCTCAGCAGGAAAAAAAAGTTTTTTGAAGATCGAGCCTCGGCAGCTTGAAAAGCCCGGAAAGGCTGCAAGCAGTAGAAAGCAGTCTTCGCATGTGCAAAGCATTTCGGCTGCACCAGAACCTTATCTCAAGGCAGCACAACCCCCACCCATATTATATAGCAGGTCTTGGAATGAAACAACTTGCTGTCCAAGGAAATTTTCTGCAATATCGGGGGCGTGAAGATAAATTATACTGTATCATACCAAAGTCAAGGCACCCTCAACACCTTGGGAAGCAAGGCCAGGTCGTCGACCGCTCCTTCCTTGGCTAAGGCGAGCCCCAACTCCTTGAGGGGGTTCCGGCCTTCTAAAGTCAAAGCCACCAAGTGCACCAGGAGCTCAATCGACCATCGACTTCTCAATTGACCAAAATGGTCAATGAAATCACCCCATCTCGATGCTTTGTGGTCGCCGCCCAGAGCCCCACTGGCCACCACCTTCAGGATCTCCTGTTTCAGCTCGGCCATGGTGCAGTCTTTTGAAAGCTGTCGCTCCTGGATGATGTTGGGTGCCACCCACTCCAGCAGGACGTGGTTCTCCGGCAGACTCGACAGGCTCTGCCGAGCCTCCAGTAGGCGCCTGCCGAAGCTGGAGCTCTTGTATGGCCCTTTTGCATATTTGAGGACCAACATCACTTGCCTTTTGGCAAGCTGAACTTGTGGGACCGCTGCCGCTGCTAAAATCTCCTCCCTGTGCAACTTGTGACTACAATCGCGATGCGGAAAAATCGCGAGACCTGCGTCTGCCAACTGGAAAGCGGCACCGATGTCGCCCTCATCGGAAAGCGTGCTGAGGCGGACGGTTCTGTTGAACCCCGCCGTTGCAGAGCATTGCCACACAGCAGATTTGTCATCTCTGTTGTACAAGTACGGCAATCGCAATCCCTCCTGCTCCATGTATTCGCGAGTTTCGCCGTGGCAGCGCGGACGTAGCATGACTGGCGGCGACGAGTCTGCAAATCTGTAACAAAGGAGGTGTCCGAGTGAGTTGTTGAGGCCCAAAAGCTTCGTCCTCGTCGAGGACTTCTCAGCACTTGACAGATCTTTCTGTGCAGCCGACGGCTTGAGTCGGTGCAACGAAGTGGGTGCAGCGAGTTTCTGCTCGGCACTCTGCAACTTGCGAAGATTCTCTGAGTCGTCGGCATCAATGCTCTTCTTCAGCTGAGGCATCAACACCAAAGGTGCTGAGACGACGAGGCCGTCGGTCGAGATCATCACGGTCATGATCTGGCAGGGTGTGTTTAGGGGAATAACTATCAGAACTATCATGCCACTAGCACAATGTGGCGCCGCAAATTCGGGAACGAAATGCCAAAGATCAACCGGCCTCGTGAGTGGAAACCTTGGCCCCGTCCTCGTAGTACGCCATGTGGCGGAACTTTTGGCGTTCAAGCTTCGATAGGAACTCCAAAGAAGCATTAGCCCAGTACGCCGAAACAAGCTGAGAGGCCGCCACACTGCCCAAGCTTCGTCCTTGAGCGCCTGGGATGTCGACCAAGTTGTCGTTCTCAGAATGGCCCGTGCTGCTGACGAAACCTGATTTTTTGGTCAGGAATCTTTTCAAGAGCTCCTCGCGGCACATCGCAGCGTTGCGCGACAGAGACCCGGTCGTGAAGGGCGTGTCACAATCTGGCTCGTCTTCGGGCTTGGGGACACGGTTTCTCAAGCGAATGGAGCCGTTACAGAAGGCCGTCTCAAGCCCTTGTGCCACGATGTGCAACATCCGCTTCTGCAGTCTCGTAACAGGGACAGATTCCAAGCCGTCTGCCTGCAATCGCATGCAATACCAAAAAAGGTCTGCAACATGCACGAAGCCATCCAGGTTGCTTCGTGCCGTCCCCAAAGACGTACAGTTCTCCCACCTTCGCAGTTACAGGATAGGAAACAAGGCAGGCCAGGACAAGGGAAAATAATCGGAACTTTACCCGATACCTAGAGCCCAGCCTCTGTCTCAGAAGTGGTTTCGCCTCCTCTCCGAAAGCTGCGAAGAAGCGTTTCAGCTTCAGCTGCCCAGTCACAACTTTCAGTGGAAGGTTTGGCAGGATTGCCACACCATCCGGAAAAGAAGCCAAAGGGACTATCTTTCTCAGCAGCGTAACTATATTGACTTGTGTTTGGGCGTTCAATCCTCGGACCTGGGCCATGATGGCGAACACCTGGAGCATTCCTGGGGTGGTGAACAAATCATAATTCACTCCCGGCAACTTGGTCACCTCTTGCTCGCCCTTGTAGCTTTGCGGCCGAACGATATGTCGCTTCGAAAGATCCCACGACCTTTCCGCTTCAGCCATGGCCCCCGTTCTCAGCTGCCGCGAATGCCACTGAAACCATTCTGTGGTCATGCCGATCTTGGCCCACACATCGGAGACCATCCAGAAATGTTCAAATCCCTGAGCAAAGGACTGATCCACGACATCCACCTCACAGGGGACAAATAAGGAAGCGGTGTTGCACGGGAAGTACAAGAATAGATAGCAGATAGCAGCAAACTACATTGCACATCAGAAGTACGATGCCTTGACGATGCTGACGGTGTCCGGCTCTAGTCGGAGGTACCGGATGAGAACCGAGACGGGCTTCGGCTCAGCAGTGCCACTGCGGATCTTCTCGATCTGCTCATCCAGCTTGGTGCTCTCGGGCTTTCCATACAACGTGCCGGGTGGCACCGGGAAGTCACACTGCGGCCGCAGATCCTCCAAGCATTCGTCCAGAAGAGCAGCATCAACTTGCTGCCCACCTAAGGATTGCAAAGAGACACCTCGCCGGGATGCCAACTCCAATGAAGCGAATGCCCGAATGAACTCGACAGCGGAATGGAGGCGATCTCGGAGGTAGCTGAAGAGTCGCTCTTTCAGTGGCGGCTGATTCTCAGGCTGATCCTGAAGCTGAAGGTCCAGGCCGCTCATTCAATCACAAAGCATTGGGTGATCAAAACACACATGGTGACCGTTGTAGAACTCGGTTGCACTTGAATCATTGAAGTCTCCCGATCTGAATCCGACACCGCAAGAACCCACTTAGGTCGTCAAAATGACGTTTGAAGCCCATGCCACCACAAGAGGAAACCTTGGAACAATCCGTTGTATTATATGTTCTGCACGTCCTTGGTTCAGCTTGCAGGACTTCATGGACTACATCCACATCCTACCGATCCACATCCTACCGAACTGCACAACCCTTTGAGGGTCGCAGGAGCGGCTGCAAACACCAAATGTTAAGGCAACGGTGTGATGCGGCACACGAAGCGACAACACATGGGAGCACGGTCACGAATGCGTTCAAACCGGACTGGGACCTGCCTTGGATCCCAAGTGGCCAGGCCGGACCTCGGCATGAGCACAGAGCCGAAGCTGGAGCACGTAGAAAACAGAGACTGTTGGAGCATTGCCCTCGGCACTATCGGTACACATGCATCAAAAATCCACTCACAACGATTCCGAAGCAGCAAATGCAGAGCCAAGCATGTTTGCAAGTGCGACAGCTCGGAATGTGTGCACATGCGACAACTCCCAGATCCTGGCCCGAAGAGAGCCATCTGCCTCTGGATTGCCCATGCAAGTGCTGCTGTTGCAACCATGAAAGCTAGTACTTCAATCAGGCAATGATGCAACTTCAATCGTTGTCCATTCCGGCTGCAATGCAATCACACTGGCTGCACATCTCGTCCTGCTCCCTGGCACCAAGCCCAGAGCGGAATCGGTCGTGGCCGCTTTCGTACAGGATGTCTGGCCTTTTCGCGAAAATGATGCTGCTGCAACCCAAGGCATGTCAAATTGCACCTGCAAGAACAAGCAAGGATGCAACTTCAAACGTGTTCTGTTCCGGTTGCAACTACACTGGCTACACATCTCCTCCTGCTCCCTGGTCCAACAAGCCCCCGGCAAAGTCCGCTGTGCTTTTCTCCCAGGATGCCTGGGCTACCCGCTCGACTGCAGCTGCAACCAAGGCGATGCAAAACTACTATTTGCGAGCTTGTATGCTGCACCTATAATCATGGGCCTTTTCAGAAGAGGTTTGCCACTGAAACACCCAAAACCAGCCACTTCTGGCCCAAAGTCAGGATTTGGAGCTGAAATTCAGGGTTTGGGCCAGATCAGGCCCTCCCAACCCAGAATAAGCCTCCTGAGGGTCAGGTAGCACTTCAATCAAGCAATGATGCAACTTGAAGGTGGTCTACTCCGGCTGCAATGCAATCACACCGGCTACACTCTCCCTCTGCACCCTGGCAACAAGCCCCCTGCAGAGTCAGTTGTGGCCGCTTTCGTCCAGGAGGTCTGGCCTGGGAGCAGACAGAGGCTTCACTCGCAGATATGCAGCAGAGAGGACGGGGAGGAGAAAAAAAAAATAAATAAAAATAAAAATAAAAAATTGAGATGGCGCGGAGAGCGGAGAAGGCGCGGTGGTGCGTTTTTGTGATACATTCCAAAAAACAGAGCACGTAGCCTTCTCCACGTGACGTGGCCTGCTCAATTTTTTCCTCGGCTTTGCATGTCCCCGAGCGAAATTGAGATGGCGCGCACTTGCGGAGCGAACCAGCAAGCTGGCAAATCACAGGACGAAGGGTTTCCCTCCCCTGCCTCATCCCCTTCACTGCTTCGCAGTGACCGTGCGACAGATGAGCTCTCGGATCCTGCCAGATCAGCTGAAGTCCTCAGTGGCCTCCAAAACACTTCGCAGCATATCCTGCCAAGGGTTCTGATGGATCACACGCTGCAACAAAGCTTCGACTGGACACGAAGCTTTCACTGACTGCGGGCAGGTCCTTCTGCTCCAGCAAAGCTTTGAGAACCGCCGTACAAGACATTTTCTGGGGGAATCGCAACTGGCCGAACTTCTGCTTGGCAGCGTCAGAAGTAAAGAAGAATTTGGCCAGATTGGAGTCGGTCGGCCAGGCATCAAGGGCAATAAGAAGATCTCGGGGCACCCGGAGCCCAGCCGCAAAGAGGAGGTCGTGGAACACATCCACATCCTAGGCTATTTGCGGAATCCCACTCTCGATTTCAAAAGCATAACCCAAAGATCCTTAATTCTCGAAAGAAGTGCAGCTGAAGGGCAGACTCATTCAGGAAATCAGACAGCATTTCTTTCATCTCGTCCGAAATGGTAGTTGGCCCCGAGACAGCTGGCCCCGAGACAACAGGCAGCGGCTCCGGAGCCGCAGAAGCGAGCTCAGCATCTGCGACTGGCCGATCTGAAAGCCTTGGTTTGGCCTGGGCCTCATCCACAGCATGTTCCAAGCTTCTCTGAAACCTCGTCGTACTGAAGAGATCGTCGTCCCTGTCATCGTCGTGAACACAGCTCGGCCTCTTGACTAAGTCCTCGTCATCCTCGCTCTCCTCCTTGGAGTCACCGGCAGCCTCGCTGTCGCTCATGTGCTCGGGAACGGAGCCAGCCAAGGTAGTGGTTTCGTCCGGATTCCTTTTCGAAGCCTTGCCCGGCTTACCCAGCTGAGGGTTCCGAGCGGGCCCAAGCGAAGTGGCTTTCACCTCCAAGGCTTGCCTCGAACCGCCGTGGAAGAGCTTTGACTCCATGGTCTCCAAGTCCTTCCGAGCTTCAGCTTTCAGCTTGGACATCTGGGTCGCGATTTCCTGCAGGAAGCTGTCAGAGCCATCCTTGAGACGCTCTTTGATGCGAGGTGCCAAACTTCGTCGCAGCTGCACCAGATTGTCGAATTGCACGAGAGCAGTCTTCCTGCTCTTGTCCACGATCAACCTAGGATGAAAGTGAAGTTTTTGTGGCACAGCTGTTGTTGCGAAAGGAATCGAAGCTGAGTTTGTCTTTGTTTGTCTCGCTCTCCCTCTTTATGTCTCCCTCCAAACTCTTTCTCTCTCTCTCTCTCTCTCACACTCTCACTCTCACTCTCTCTCTGTCTCTCTGTCTGTGTCTCTCTCTCTCTCTCTCACACACACACACACATTCTCCCCATCCCATTCCCATATGTGCTCCAACGATGCACGAGGAGCACGTATGAAACACCTCTCTCTCTCTCTCTCTCTATCTCACTCTCTCTCCCTCTCTCTGTCCCTGTCTCTCTGTCTTGTCTGCCTAAAGATATCTCTTTCTCTCTCCCTGTCTCGCTCTCTCCCTCTGCCCATTGGCCCTACCTCCCTCTCCCCGTATCGCTGCATCCGTCGGCCAGTCTCTGTGTCCATCTTGCCAGGAAGCTCGAAGACGGAGAGCAGCCTCTGCTTCCACTTGGAGTCTGCCACAGCATGCTTCTGCTCGCTGTCCCGCATGTCCGTGATCGCTTGTTTGTCTGCTTTCTCCCGCTTCTTGCCTGTAAGCCGAGTCTTCAGCACGTCCTTCTCGGCCAACGAAGACAACTCGCCGCCGATTTCGGCGAGGTCCATCACGGTGACATTCGCTATGCTGCGATGCGGCTCGGCGATCAAGAAGGAGATCTGCGCCTGAGCTATAGAGACCTACCAAAGTGAAGTCATGCTCTTCCACAGCCGCAGCAGTGCAAACGAGGCACACAAGACAACGACTCGTACTTGACGATGCTCTTCAACTTCATTTGCTTCGTCTTCAGGCCGAGTTGCAAGGCCAGTTGATCTTCATGCTCGCACTGATCTGGCGTCGGTGAACGGGCCCGACGGTCAGAGCTGGAGGAAGATCTCTTGCGCTTCTTGTTCTTCTTTTCTTTGTTCGCCCTGTTCACGACATCCTTCGCCCAGCTCTCCTGATGGAGTTAGGAATGTCTGCAAATCGGGGCCCCCACTCCGAGCAATGAAGTTAGATTCCCCAAAAGCGGAGATCGAAAATGACTCCAGCCTTCATGTTCTGGATTGAATTGTCCATTGCAGCTGCCATGGGGTCGCTCTTCTTCGGGGGCGAAGTGTCGCTTGCAAGCGACGAGGCGGTGTTTGACCGCTGGAACTTCTGCATGCTGGCAACAGCAAGGCACACAGCAGCCAAAAAACTGCGTAGAAATTGCATCAGCAGCCGCCACAGCAGGAACCCTGGACTGCGCAACAACATTTTCAGACAGACATGATTGCTCGAAGCAGCAACGAAGGCAGAATCGCATCATGCTTCGATCGCAGACACGGAAGTATCTCGGCTTTTTCCGTTCAAGCCAACTCAACAGGAAAGGCATCCGACGACCATGTTCAAAACTCACTCGTCTATGAAGCCCTGTCAGGACTTGATCATAACTCTGAGTTGAGGGACTGCAGAGGTGGCCAGGTCACGGCAACAATCTGAAAGTAGCCCCTCGTGCCGCTGCGCCACTTCCAAGGAGTCGTCGCCGGAGCAGGCTAGTATTTGCTGTCTGGCTTCCTCGACCCGGTCAGTCCAGGTCATAGAAAGAATACTTGCCATGCTGCGGAAGCGTTCTTCTGGGCTTGCACGGAGCTTATCCAGCGAGATCTTTAGAAACTCTGGAAGCTTCAGTAGCCTGATGCATGAGGTTTTCATCAGCGAAGCTAGAAGTGTCCCGATGAGAAGAACTTGGAAGCTAATTCAGTCGAGTCTCCGGTCCTTGATGATGGACAAGTGTTTCTGAGCCGTGTCATCGAAAGTTTTCGGCAGATCCTGGGATAAACAGGATCGGGAGCAGCTGACGGAGACAGCGAGAGAGGGAGAGAAGCTGCTCCAGTCTGCAGGAGCACACGACCAAGAGCTTCCAAGTCACGTCATGACGAGCATCTGCTTTCTGCTCCTCTGGAGTTTCCGCTGCCTCCGGAACCTTCGCTGCCGGACGACGCATCGCACTGGCTGGTCGTTTCTTCGACCCTGACATTGGAGCCTGGGACATGCAACGATCAGCCGGGGTGTCATCGCTGTAAACAACAGAGGCAAGAAATGCACGAATGTCCTTCGAAATCAAGCCAATGAATGCTGACTCTTTGCGAGTCACGGCTTTCTGCTGCTTCTGCTTGGACTCAAGCTTGTCGGGCTGTTTCTTGTGCACACAAACCTTGGAAAGTCTGCAGGAGCAGCAGGGATGAGGCGGAAGGCAAAAAGGATGCGTGCTCGGTAAGCCAGAGAGCTGCGATTTTCAATCGCCTGCAAGTCGAGCACCGCAAATGGCGATCGCCTTTTCGGTCATCCATGCGGACAGAAGACCTCAGTTGGCGCGAGCGATAGCGAGCACTGCAATGAGTGGACGGGCGGTTCTTCGCTTGCTGAGCGGTGGCTCGAGCTTTGTGGTGGCTGGGGTTCTGCGGTGGCTCGGGTTCTGTGGTGGCTTGGGTTCTGCGGTGGCTCGGGTTCTGCGGTGGCTTGGGTTCTGCGGTGGCTCGGGTTCTGCGGCAGCTGCTCTCTGGTGGCTTGGGTTCTGCGGTGGCTCGTGCTTTGCGGTGGCTCGGGCTCTGTGGTGGCTATATGGTTCTTTGGTGGGTCCTGTCCTGCGGTGGGTCGGGTGGCTCGGGTTCTGCGGTGGCTCGGGTTCTGCGGTGGCTCGGGCTCTGCGGTGGCTCGGGCTCTGCGGTGGCTCGGGTTCTGCGGTGTTTCGGTTCTGCGGTGGCTCGGGTTCTGCGGTGGCTCGGGTTCTGCGGTGGCTCGGGTTCTGCAGTGCCTCGGGTTCTGCGGTGGCTCGGGTTCTGCTCTCTGGTGGCTCGGGCTCTGCGGTGGCTCGTGCTTTGCGGTGGCTCGGGCTCTGTGTGTGGCTGGCTATGGTTCTGCGGTGGCTCGTGCTTTGCGGTGGCTCGGGCTCTGTGTGTGGCTATGGTTCTGCGGTGGCTCGGGTTCTGCGGTGGCTCGGGTTCTGCGGTGGCTCGGGTTGTGCGGTGGCTCGGGTTCTGCGGTGGCTCGGGTTCTGCGGTGGCTCGGGTTCTGCGGTGGCTCGGTTTCTGCGGTGGCTCAGGTTCTGCGGTGGCTCGGGTTGTTCGGTGGCTCGGGTTCTGCGGTGGCTCGGGTTCTGTGGTTATGTGGTGGCTCGGGTTCTGTGGCTCGGGTTCTGCAGTGGCTCGGGTTCTGCGGTGGCTCGGGATCTGCGGTGGTTCGGGTTGCGATCGCTCGGCTTCTGCGGTGGCTCGTGCTCTCTGGTGGCTTGGGTTCTGCGGTGGCTCGGGCTCTGCGGTGGCTCGGGTTCTGTGGCTTGGGTTCTGCGGTGGCTCGGGTTCTGCGGTGGCTCGGGTTCTGCGGTGGCTCGACGTCTGCGGTGGCCGGTGCTTTGCTGTGGGGGGTTCTATGGTGGGTCCTGTTCTGCAGTGGCTCGAGTTCTGCGGTGGCTTGGGTTCTGCGGTGGCTCGGGTTCTGCGGTGGCTCGGGTTCTGGCTTGGGTTCTGCGGTGGCTCGGGTTCTGCGGTGGCTCGGGTTGTTCGGTGGCTCGGGTTCTGCGGTGGCTCGGGTTCTGTGGTTATGTGGTGGCTCGGGTTCTGTGGCTCGGGTTCTGCAGTGGCTCGGGTTCTGTGGCTCGGGATCTGCGGTGGCTCGGGTTCTGCGGTGGCTCGGGTTCTGCGGTGGCTCGGGTTCTGCGGTGGCTCGGGTTCTGCGGTGGCTGGGGTTCGGTGGTGCTCGAATTCTGCGGCGTCTCCTGTTCTGTGGTATGTGGTGGCTTGGGTTCTGCGGTGGCTCGGCTTCTGCGGTGGCTCCGGTTCTGCGGTGGCTCGGGTTCTGCGGTGCTCGGGTTCTGCGGCGGCTCGGGTTCTGCGGTGGCTCGGGTTCTGCGGTGGCTCGGGTTCTGCGGTGGCTCGGCTTCTGCGGTGGCTCGGCTTCTGCGGTGGCTCGGGTTCTGCGGTGGCTCGGGTTCTGCAGTGGCTCGGGTTCTGCAGTGGCTCGGGTTCTGCGGTGGCTCAGGTTCTGCGGTGGCTCGGATTGTTCGGTGGCTCGGGTTCTGCGGTGGCTCGGGTTCTGTGGTTATGTGGTGGCTTGGGTTCTGCTTTGGCTCGGTTCCCGATGGCTACACGAACGGCGTCTCGATCAGCGGTGGTTCGGCTCTGGAAGGATTGGTTTCAAGCTGCAATGACATTGCTTATATGTGGACCGCTACGGAGCTACAGTGTCGGCAATCCAGGGTTGCGAAGTCGCACTCGAATTGGGATTCATTTTTGTTGGAGACAAGTGTGCATCGTCTTTAAATGCACCATAATCCTGCGATGAGTTGAGGTGCACTTCAACATGTTGCCAAACAGTCGAATGATCACTGAATGCACCCAAGCTGCCAAGTCAAGGCTCAGCGAAGCCACGAGTGCCCAGTGAACATGTGCAACATCGACGACTTATTGAAGCATGCCTGATCTCTGATACATCGTTTTGACTGACCAGACTAAGTAATGATAATGAACTTCCAGAAGTGACATTCCTAACCGATTGCGAGTATCACTGGTGCGATGTTGAAGTCATCTACAATCTAGACAGTTGCATGTTCCATCATGTCCCATACAGCTTCTGATTGACACGGCAGGAACAAAAGGTTCACATGCACCGACCGCCAACGTGCAGACTGACTCACTCTGGGGATCCATGCACCGCTCATCTCGATCTGAAAGCCTGGCGGCATGGCGATACAGTCTGACGACAAGCTCTAATCCACGACAATCGAAGACAACCGACACGTACAGGAATGGCATGAGACAGAGAAGGAGCTTTGCAGAACATCGGCCAGCCTGAGAGACGATGAGCACCATCGGCGAAGGAAGCATCCACCTGCAAAGAAGTGTCGCAAAGAGACAGTCCGGGACATGACGACAAGGGCAACAACACTCACCGTCCAATGCGAAAGCCCGCAATTCCCGAAATCCGAACCCAATGCTAAACCCCTGGCCTTCACGAAGCAGCATCCACCGGCAAATCTGGCAAACACAGGACTCATTTCCCGAAACCCAAACGTCTTTACCCGAAAGCCCTCTGGCGCTAACCAAGCCCGAAAAGCCAGTTCTAAGGAGTTCGAACTCACTGACTTCGATTGCTGTCGCAGCATTACACTAATGCGCACGACACAACTAATCTGTCTCACGACGGTCTACGTCAACTCAGCTCACCTTCCCTGTTCTCGGCTGAACAATCCGAGACTTTGGGATTTCTGCGTGTGAATGATAGGAAGCAGAGCCGACATCGAAGGATCAGGCTCTCGCTTTCCGGAGCTGGCCGCTGCATCTGGACCTGGGCATCGTACCGACTTCGACTTGCTGTCGCAGCATCTCACTAATCCGCACGACACAACTAATCTGTCTCACGACGGTCTATGTCAACTCAGCTCACCTTCCCTGTTGGCGGCTGAACAATCCGAGACTTTGGGATTTCTGCGTGTGAATGATAGGAAGCAGAGCCGACATCGAAGGATCAGTGGATCTGAGGCTCTCGCTTTCCCCGGGATTCCAGGAGCTTCCCTCTGCATCTGGACCTGGGCATCGTACTGATTTCGATTGCTGTCGCAGAATCTCGCTAATCATTGGCAGGATTCAACTAACCTGTCTGACGACGGTCTGCATCAGATTCCTATTCGCGGCAATCCGACACTATGGGACTTAAGCAACTCCACAAACTCACATGCTCCCTCCGAGAACCAGGGTCCAGGCCAAAGCATCACAATGCGCATGAAGCACCGGCCTGCAAGGCGCATGCGAGCACAACCGGAAACTCCATGCAAACCTACACAATGACCGTCGGACAATGCAGGCAGCTTTCGTTTCAGCAGATGAGCCATTCGCAGTTTGCCGTGTAAAGGCTTATACGGCACAGATGCAGAGCGAGGAGCCACACCAACTTTATGGACTGCTGTGGACCGTACTATGGACCTCTATGGACCCCTATGGACCCCTATGGACCTCTATGGACCCCTATGGACCCCGATGGACCCCGATGGACCCCGATGGACCCCGATGGACCTTTGTAATTGAATCACTCCGGCCCCGCTCTGCATCCCTTCAAAAGAGTCGAAGCAAATGGAGGAGACAGGAAGCCGTGGCAGCACCACCACTGTTATGTATGTTTCGGAATGT